CTCTCCCCCTGCTGCCGGCTGCGCGCGCTGCACCGCCCCGCGCCGCGCCGCGCCGGGGTGCGAGCACGGCTGAGAGAGAACAGGGCAGGGCACCACATCTGTGTCAGAGCCAACGGGGGGTGTTTGCGTGAGAGAGAGAGAGAGAGCAGGTGTGTGAAAGAACATGTCAGTGTACAGGTGTGAGAGTGTGTAAGCAGGTGCATGCTTGGGTGAGCATGTATGGGAGAACAGGAGTGCCAGAGAGAGCGCAGGTGCGTGTGTGAGAGAACATGTCAGAGCACAGGTGTGTGTGTGCGTGTGAGAGAGAGAGAGAGAGTGAGGTGTGTGAGAGCATGTGTGTGTGCACGAGAGCAGGTGTGTGGATTGACACCCAGACTAACCCAAGTGTATGTGAGCATGTGCTGCTGTCAGCATGCGTGTGCATGGGTGTGTGGGCATGTGTGTGTGCGTGTGAGAGAGAGAGAGAGAGAGAGAGTGAGGTGTGTGAGAGCATGTGTGTGTGGACTAGAGCAGGTGTGTGGATTGACACCCAGACTAACCCAAGTGTATGTGAGCATGTGCTGCTGTCAGCATGCGTGTGCATGCGTGAGAGTGAGTGAGCAGGTGCGTGCACGAGAGCAGATGTGTGGATTGACACCCACACTAACCCAAGTGTATGTGAGCACGTGCTGCTGTCAGCATGTGTGTGCATGGGTGCGTGGGTGTGTGTGCGTGTGTGAGAGTGAGTGAGCAGGTGTGTGAGAGCATGTGTGTGTGCACGAGAGCAGGTGTGTGGATTGACACCCAGACTAACCCAAGTGTATGTGAGCATGTGCTGCTGTCAGCATGCGTGTGCATGGGGTGGTGTGCATGCGTGAGAGTGAGTGAGCAGGTGTGTGCACGAGAGCAGGTGTGTGGATTGACACCCACACTAACCCAAGTGTATGCGAGCATGTGCTTTTGTCAGCATGCGTGTGCACAGGTGTGCACATGTGTGTGCATGTGCGTGTGGACTAGCACCTTCTAGACTAACCAAAGTGTGCGCAAGAATTTGTGCATGTAAAACAGCACACATGCGTGTGGACTGGCACCTCCTGGACTAGGCAAAGGCCCCCGGGCCGCCGAGGCTCCCCTGCGCAGCCCCACAGGCCTTGGGTCTCGCTCCAGCCTGTCCCACCTCCACCTCTGAGCTGCTCGGGTGGCAGCACCAGGCAGACGGACAGCTCTGCTCTGCCACCACCAGTGCGGCCAGGGTTTGAATGGGACGGGCAGAAGGAAGCACTGTGAGGAGCTCAGGCCTGAGGAAGCCTCCTGCCTCTAAGGAGGGCTGCCCACTCCCAGGGGGCAGTTCAAGCCAGAGTGCAGCAGTGCTGCTGATCTCCGCCCTGACACCAACCTGCCTTGAAGAAGGATCCCCAAGCAATACACCTTTTTACCACCCCTGGCGGGCTAGGAGGGTCCGACAGAGCCAGGCACATGCTGACTGCCGAACTGATCGAGGTCTGCCATCATCCCTCAGCTGGACGACAACAGTGTTTTAATACCTGGACACAAAGCCTTCAGCGCTTGGAAAACTCCAGTTGTTATAGAGCGTGGCAGCCTGTCTTCTCAGCAACGCATCTCACCTGCTCTCTGCCCCCTACCCTGCCTTCCTATGGAAGTTCAAGGCCTCTGCCCTCATCTTCAAAGCTCTCAAAAGGCTCCAATCAAGATAGCAATTAAAGCCCTGGGGCAAAAGACTGCTCAACTAGTGTTTCACAGTAAGGATAAATGCTCACCTCTGCAGAAAACCAGGCTCTTGCAGGGACTGGCCCACCTCTGTGAAACACCCCAGGGAGGCCAGTACCAGCGCAGACCTCAAAACCTTCCACTCCAGGTGCCACCTACGTGCCTCGGACCTTGTTTCCTCTAACCAAGCAGCCTAGAGCAACATGCTATTAAAATGAATCCCAAAAACAAGTCATGCACGCACACAGCAGACATTAATCATGTTGCAGGGAGATGCTTAAAGATTACTGCTGCGACTATGGAACAAAAATACATATGGGAAAGAACCCGATGTAATGGCATCACTCGGAGCCTTGCTTTTTCTGTACTCCAAAATAATAAAAAAGCAAACATCTTTTAAAGATGCTTTCATTTACACGCAAGCACACACAAGTGTGGCGTTACCTTTGGAAATAAAAGGTGACCCTCCCCGATATCTAATGACTTCCAGGACACCCAAAGAAGTCCTAGTCCCCTGACAAAACCCTTCTGTACAAACCCCCAGACCTATACAGAGTCCTGTTAACTTCAGGAGGACTCTACATGGGCAGATGGGCCTACGCTGTCAGAATCCTGTATGGGATCCTGGATTAAACCAGAGGCAGGGATCCAGCAGAAGATGTGCTTTGCTGGTGGAGTAGGGCACCTGCAATTTACTTTAGTAGTCTTAAATAATATAGCTGAGCTGTGCTAGGAAATGCACTTCAATATAGTTGAGTGGTAACATGAGGCTTTGCTGCCACATCCAATAGTAACTCTTTGCCAAGAGTTTGCAGACATGTTGATGGTTTGTTCAAATTTGAAGTATAAAACGGGCAAGCGATGCATGGACTGGTCTGCCCCTTTATCCACGTCTATCTTTGCCTGGAGTTAGGGTCTAATCTTGCAAGCTGCTCTGTGCAGGCAGAACCCCAAACATGCGCCAGCTTAGAGGGTCTGCCTCTGTGAAGCAGATTAGAGGAGTGTTATTCCTTATCTTCCACTGCTGAAACCCAGGGGAGCAGGATCAAACATCCTCTATATATCCCCCTTCCATTTATTTGCCACTGTGTAGTTTTCCCATGCAAACCAATGACGTGTAATTGTTATTTCATGAGCAACGACTGTGGGCTCAGCTCTGCCAACACATACGGTTTGTTCCTTCCTTTCTACAAAGTAGGAACTGGCAGCCAACACACTCAAGGCCAAAATGTGTTCCAGCTAACCCAAAGGATAGCTCTGCCTCGGAGCCTATTCTTCACAAAAGTCTGTAGGACAGCTGGCTGTGTTCTGCACAGAGGAAGAAATCTATTGTAAATAGAGAAGCCAGCAAGACAGGGTTAGCTTGCTCTGTAAACTGTATTAAATAATCAAGAGGAAGAAAAAGCTGAGGTTGAAGGCCTTGGCCTTTCCGACTGCCTGCACAATTTCAGACGGCGCAGTGGCAGAGGCAAACTGTGATCAGGAGTCAGCTAAGGTGGGCAGACCTTTTCCAGAAAGATGGTTTACAGGAGTAGAGAGTCTAGGTAGAGAGCCCTTCTCATCCCACACCTCCTTCCAACCAAAAAAAGAGCACATGCATATGTCTGTACTGGTTATTAAATGACCAGAGTGCTGGCAGCCCAGCACACCAGTTATCCACAGCGTGAGTACATTGCTCAGGCCGCCAGTGCCAAGTTGGTGCCCCCATGTTGACCCAGAAGAGCTGCCGCTGGTGGGCAGAGGGTAGCTCAGTTTCCATTATATCTTTTCGCTCCTCAGCAGAGGATGCCAATTAGCACCAGTTATGATGCAGACACCTATCCACAGGAAGTGGAGCGAAACCAAATTAATTTCACCCAGGCTACCAGAGAGTAATGAATGATAGTTTCTATGCCAACACTGCCAGCCTGAACCCTACAGGGATAAGAGGCCCTTGTAACCAACCCATTACCACTCTCTCATGCAGACCTGCTGCTACCGCTCCTGCTGGTAGCTGGACACCCAATCTTAGCAGCCACAAGAGCTGGTGCAACTCCTGAATAAAGTAGCACTTGCTTAAGTGGTTCACTCAGGCCCCTGCAATTATCCTCTCAGGAACAGCTTGGAGTCAAGAACAGAGAGCCATTGCCCTCTATTTTTGCTGCAGGGAGAGTTCTCCATTTTCTTTTCTACAGTGAACAACCCCTTCTATGGCACCTTATCACAGAAAGCACTTGAAAGTCCTTGTTATAATAGCAGTAGAGTACAAAGTCCACCCATCCTATAGAGTAAGTTAATCAGAAAGATGGAGATGCTCCTAATCTCTCCAGCCAGTGGATTTGCATTTACTAACATCGGGTCAGAACCTGACCCAACCCGTTCCACAAAGCCAGTGCATAAAGATTAAGAACCAATCTGCAGTATCCTCCTTTCACCGAGATATAGTAATGAGACTTTTCACTGAGTAGGATGCTATTTTCCATAAATCCGGATTTCACAAGCTGCCACCTAAAGGTATAGAGAGAAAGGTAATTTTTAAGATGTCACCCTGCCCTGCCTTCTGCAGGGATGTAGGTGCAAAGCTGAGAGACTGACCAATGACAAGGGGAAAAAAATAAAGAGTAGTTTTAATAATTTGGGATTTGATCCTCTGTGACCCAATTAGGCTGACAGCTCTATTTGTTTTATTTATGAAGGAACCCAAAAGCATGACAATTCCCTTGTACTTCTAGGCTATTTGGAGAATTTTGCAGGCCAAAACCCATCAGTTGTTGTTCATCCTTTGAATTCAGAGATGACCAAGACATCATTGGCTGGCTTGGTTTCTGTGAACCCATGAATGGCCAATTTGTGCTTTGAACTGTCTATGGCACACCAAGCAGGAGATGTCACTTTGGGTTGCTTGATCAACAGTGGACATGCTGCTGTTGCGATTTTTACACAGTTTGTGCTTCTGCTCTGCCTCAGCAGTTCTTCTCGGCTCGTAGACTGTAGCTCCAGAACGGATGAGGCTTTTCCAGGTGGAACAATCACGAGCGAGATCTTCTCAAGGCTTCGGGTCAATGTTGAAATGTTTCAAGGATGACTTGAGGGAGTCCTTGCAGGGTTTCTTCTTGCCTCCTCCGAGACCACTTTCCCTCCTTTAACTCACGTAAAAGACCTTCTTTGGCA